TTCGATGGCCAGTGTACATTTTCAAAGATAAGCTGCAGTACTGCTATAAACAGCTTAGGCGACAAAGGATCACCCTGTCTTACTCCTCGGCAGATTTTTATGTCCTCTCCCCGTTTTTCCAGTTTGACTCTGCTGATACTTCCATCATAGATGTTTTTTAATATTTTTATGTATTTATCATGAACGTGACATTTATCTAGGGCTTTCCATATGAAATTATGTACGATTGTATCGAAGGCTTTAGCATAGTCGATGAAAGCTATGTACAGTGGTCTATTGAACTCTTTATATTTCTCTATAACTTGTTGTATAACATGTATATGATCTATTGTGGAAAAACCCGAACGGAAACCTGCTTGTTCGATCGGCTGGTGTTCATCAATTTTTGGAGTCATTCTGCTTTGTAAAATTGATGTGAATAGCTTGTACATACTCGAAAGGAGGCTAATAGGCCTGTAGTTGCCTATGTCATTTGGATCTCCCTTTTTGAGCAGTAAGATTATATCGGATCTTTTCCACTGTTCTGGCACTTCCCCAGTATCGAGTACTTTGTTAAACAAGTAAGTAAGAGGGTGAACTAACAAAGTAGAACCAGTCTTTATAGCCTCATTTTGTAAACCATCGGGTCCTGGGCTTTTGTCTTGCTTCATCTTTTTAATGTGTTTGATAATTTCCTTACCGCTTATTGGTGCTATATCAACCTTATCCGAAGCGATTTTACAATACTTGCAATCCTTACTAGAATAATAAGCAATTGAACTCGAAGAGATCTGATCTTAAATATAATAAAAGGAATAATTGTTACATAGTTTAAAGATCTGCTGTACCTACATTCAAGTTTATTCATTGATCACATTAAGTTTATTTACTTATTTAATAATTTGCTTTTTAAAATACATAGAATTCGTCAAGGTTAGGTTTGTTTTTCTAATATCAAACAAGATTTCTTCAACTTTTTGTTAGAGTTGTTTTGTTTGATCGTCACTACTTCCTGTATTATTGGTTTTTGCTACAGAATCGATTTAAAGTTACATTACTTTACAATTCTTCTTACGGTTACTTTAATACCAAGTTATAATATCAAGTTCGTTTTTTTTGCTTACTTTATTATTTTCAAACACTTTTCTTCTATAATAAATAAAATTTGTAATGTCTGTTATGAAATAAAATAAAAAATACTGTTCGTAAACACCATGAATAATAATATAAAAGGAGAAATGATTATATCATATTATGACCTTTTTCGCGATTTAGATAAATGACGACTATGAAAGAAGAAAACAAAATTGAGCTTACAGTTAGCTTTTTTTTAAGCAAATCATACGTTTCATTATTACTTATTAATTAACGGAGCTAAGCAAACAATTTGTCCATAGTTTTAAGCCGAAGTTCGCATGCAGAATATGAATTGCGGTACTAATTTTGAACAATAACCCTAAATAATTAAATAAAATAAAATAAATTGTAATAATAACGGTTGTACTAATGTACCTACTTACTTGTAGTAACTGTCGTACAAAATAAAACGAATGATCGATATATGATATGTGCATTTACTGGTGGTAGGACCTCTTGTGATTCCGCACGGGTAGGTACCATCGCCCTGCCTATTTCTGCCGTGAAGTAGTAATACGTTTCGGTTTGAAGGGTGGGGCAGCCGTTGTAATTATACTGAGACCTCAGAACATATATCTCAAGGTGGGTGGCGCAATTACGCTGTAGACGTCTATGGCTCTAGTAATCACTTAACATCAGGTGGGCTGTGAGCTCGTTCACCCATCTAAGCAACAAAACAAAGCATACACGATCGAAACTTACTTCACAGAACTTTGTTAGTATCGATTAAAGGTATTGTAAAACGTTCGTACCGCATACAAAACTTGGGGAGTGTAATGTCCCTTGATAAAGGACATCCGGCCTCATCAGTTCCACCACTCGGTTACACACGCGCCGTGCAGTAGTACCACTCTAATAAGCGTGCACGATCACGACTGACGTATTAAAATGTCATTTCTAATAATATTTAAGTCGCACTAAGCCTGATCTATGTGAATGTGAATTGTAAAACGCTGGACTGGTGTTGGATAAAGTGGGTTACGCTGAGGAAAATCAGTAGCTAATTTAAATTAGAGATCTGTCTTCTCGTTTCGTGTGTGCGTAGGTATGCAAAATGTCATAATGTTCTGCTTATGCCAAAAAAATCTTTTTTTCTCTGCCCATTCTGATAGCCTTGAGAGGGTATTTCAGCTTCGCCCTTACATGTAGGTGAGCTCACGGGGCTCAAACCGGAGTGTTGTTAACACTGGCCCTAGCAAGAGCAGTGCTGCGCAGAATCTACCACCGGATCGGAAACGCGACCCACTGAGAAAATCCGGCGAGAAACTCAGTGGGCTGTGTTTATGGGTTAATTCGCTCGTCGAGCCCTTCGTCGCAAGCGACGGGTTCGACGAGGACGGTAACCGATGCTTGTGGTACCTAAAAGCACCGTTAATGGATCGGGAGGATCCGTAATGACGTGTTTTGGGCGACGTCGAGAAATTCTCGATCTCTCTCTCTATTAAAGGTGGCGGGAATCCGCTGGATGCGTCGATGAAGTCTGATGCCGATTTTTGCAATGAAGCATTATAACATTTCGCTTTGAAGGGTGGGTCAGCTGTTGTACTGTAGAACTGAGACTTAGAACTTTTGTCTCAAAGTGAGGGGCGGCATTTACGTTGTAGATGTCAATAGGCTCCAGTAACATCTTAATACCAGGTAGGCCGATAGCTAGTCCACTCATTTAGGCAGTAAAAAATGTGGGCTACAAAGGGCTGGTCATTGTGGCGAATCCTGTGAGAAGCCTATGTCCAGCATTGAACGTTTGTAGTCTGATGATGTTGATAATACTAACGATCAACCAAGAGGACTGCCAAAAAGTGTTATTTTTACCGTCTATTTACACGACATTATTGTATATTATATGTTCAAGACGGGATTAAAGACGAGGATAGAAAGTTAGGTAAGAAACAAGAAGTGTTTATACCCTTTATATTTTAAATGGCTTAATTTATAAAACAATACGAATAAAGCACAAATCTTACGAAAATTCAATACAAAAGCAAACGATTAATTAATGAATGAAACGAACCATAAAAATCACTTGACTTGGGGGATTCGGACACGTAATATAAGCGTTTTGTGTAAAATCCGTTATCATCGTGCACTAGTATTTCAAGTGGCTAGTGTATTGTTGAGCAAACATCCTATTATTTATTGCCTTAACAATTGCGATAAGGACTTCAAGTGGATAAATACATCCTGTCAAGGATATGTTGCAAATCGTGAAACAATGATCATTTCGAAATATGAATACGCCGGGAACCTTTTGAACGTTTAATGCTACGTTAATACTTTCATATTCTGACCCGAAAAAGGGATAGAAATTGTCACGTAACGAGTCAACAAAAATGTGTTATGGGGCATAACGCGTTTATTTAACCACTAGCTGACCCGGCAGACTTCGTAGTGCCTCAATCGATTTTGTATAAAATAAACTTAAAAAAACCAAAAGGAATCCGTCCGACAGGGGACACATCAAAGAAAAAACAAAATTGTTTGTTTTTATATAATTCCGAGCATTTTCATATTTAGTCACCTTTGAAACCTTCTCTGGACTTCCACGAATAATTCAAAATTAGCCAAATCGGTCCGGCCATTCTCGAGTTTTAGCGAGACTAACGAACAGCAATTCATTTTTATATATATAAATAAACAAATATGTTACAATGTTTCTAGGACAGATTCTAGGAACTAAACTCCGAGGTACTTTTTTAGTATTTAAATCAGTTTATATTGCCATGAATAGACAAACTCTTGGCTTACCTGTTTATTAAATGGATAATGGAGGTTGAAGTCTTAATGGTTATTGCATTATTGGGTTTTGTTGGAACGCACGATGACAAATAAGGCAATATGGTGATACCTCAAAATCCCGACACAGAATATGCTTACCAGTTATTTATTTACAACAGAATCTTTTTTTTCATATTGTTCCGCGATTTTAATCCTTCGCCATTGAAGTCCTGTGTGAACGTACACATCTCTATTATTATTATATATATTTTTCCAAAAATATATCTATGGATTTGGCCTGGGTACCCATTTGACCGTAATGATTTTATAATACGTTATTTAGAATTATAATATCAAAATTAGCAGTATTCAGTTGATAAGTTTAAGAAATATGTATAAATTAATGCTCAATAGATATTTTTTCAATTTGCTCTATGCTAAAATGTTCGTTATATTAGCATTGTTTTTGGCTAGAATGTATTCGGTCTAGTTATGTAGAACAACGATAAGATAACGCAGGTCAAGGACGGGAAATGAATTATTTTTCCTAGTTGATATTTTAAAATAATTACCTGTTACGTTACTAGATTATTATTTTTATTGCTTAGATGGGTGGACGAGCTCACCGCCCACTTGGTATTAAGTGGTTACTGGAGCCCATATACATCTACAACGCCGACACCTTGAGATATAAGTTCTAAGGTCTCAGTATAGTTACAACGGCTGCCCCACCCTTCAAACCGAAACGCGTTACTGCTTCACGGCAGAAATAGGTAGGGTGGTGGTACCTACCCGTGCCGACTCACAAGAGATCCTACCACCACTACAAGAGGTTCTACCACCAGATATTCAATAGTAGATATATATTGGACCGTTATATAATATCTGTTAAAAATGTTGAGAACCAGAGATCGACAGTCAACTTAACAACTTGATAGGACATTTTGCAATTCATTTTTTTAAAAGATCAGTGGCGAAGATCGCTTAGATATGATTGGTTTTTAGTCAGTTAATATTCACACAGAATTGGTGATCCTTTTATTATAATTAAAACGCGTAAAACAATTAAATAATACCAGAAATAGAGTAGAGAATCTTATGTAAACGAATTTTCATTACTTTTTATTAATTTAGTAATTAAGTAAATTATTGTTTTTTTTGTTTTGCAGATCAGGCGGATAACCACATGCCGCCGCCATCATGGTGATCGTGACCAGGGTGAGTTACGCACGATTTTTTTTTTTTTTGACATGAGCTCTTAAGGTTCCTTTGCCACCACCTCCCCTATCTGCCTTGAGAAGGAATCACGCGCGAAAACCGGAAGCTGTACTATCCTTCAACTAAACAATTTATAAAGCACTATTCGTGGTCTTCAACCTTATGTCTCATGATGATGGCATTCATTAGGTGTTTTCTACATTTATACAGTTTATATCACTACATAGTATAAAACTAAGTCGCTTTCTCTGTCCCTATGTATGCTTAAATCTTTTAAACTACACAACGGATTTTGATGCGGGTTTTTTAATAGATAAAGCGATTGAAGAGGAAGGTTTATATGTATAATAACATCCGTTAAATAGTGGAGAAATCAATAATAAATTACAGTTTCCGAAGCGAAGCGAGGGCGGCTCGCTAGTTCGTTTATATAGGAATGCAAAAAAATTTCGCCTAATTATAGTTCCCACCTTAAGATTTAAATTCATAATAATGTAATGTAGGTACCTTTTATTAGATTATCCCTTTTGTTTCGTTAATAATTACATTTAAGAAAAATACTTACAAAATAATTTTATTGATAACACTAAAGCTAGTAAGCATAATAGAAAATCGGATTACAAACAGGAGAGAAGTCATCACTGAAATGTTTTGATTTTGCTTGTTCATTTGTTTTGAATATTAATCTGTTGTCGAATTCTAATTAAATTACATTAGAAATGACACACCAGAAATAAAATAAAATAAAAAATCATTTAATTCAGACTATCTTAAGTCCATATGTTGTAAGTAGAGTAATACTTATAGCTCTAGCTATGGTTAGTAAAGCTAGTATAAAAAAAAATGTTGGAAAAAAAAACTTTCTACTTGCGAAAAAAATTAAGATTACATCAAAATTAATTAGAAAGCAACTCCGTTATGATAAATCCGCCTTATCGAGAATGTAAATGTGCTATGTTATTTATAATTGAACATGACACAAACCGGATCTCGCTAAACGAAAGAAGAGCTTCCATCAGCTCCTTTGAAAACAAGCTCAAGGCTAGACCCGCGTAGTATTCAAATTGAATATTCATTCTTATACATTAACATTGAGTAAAAGACACATTTAGATTTAAAAATACTTGGAAAGTACTATTAACGATTCCTTCAAACTAGAATTCTCGGTTAATTTGACATAATTGAATATCCTTAGAATATAACTAGCTGAACCCGTCCGCTTCGCTGGGCATTTCAAATTAACATTATTTCTCACCCCCACAAAGATTTTCATCATTAACGCCCCCGCAACTGGTGTAGGGAGTCCAACACTCATATAAATATCTATTAAGTACAAGTAGCCTATCTATTAAGTACATGTATTTTCTGCACGGATACCAAGTTTCAAGTCAATCGGATGCATGGTTCAGTAGTTATAACGGAACATCCGTAAAAACCACTGTAGATTTATATATTAGTATCATCGATATATTATTACCACTAGATAACGCATCACATACAAAAACCAAACACAAATATGGCATCGACTAACAGATCTGACTACACCATCAAGTGGAGAAAAACGATGTATAATATAATAATTGTAACCTAAACTATGCCTTTTCCCCAAGCAATAAAGTGCAGTTTAGATTATTTTAACATTCACTTACGACCTTACGCCACGAATGACAGAAAAAGATAGTTTTTTACAATAACTTTTATTCCAAATTTTACCTTATCTCCTTTAAAATAAAGCAAAAATTTACACGCATAGCATTTTACTTACGCCCTTTTAAACTTACGATATTAAGACTTTACTGCTCCGAACAGAGTATAACGGAGTCGCACTTTATACTTTTTTTGTAAGAATATTTTGAGTAATTTATTTTTTATTATGTTTTCTTAATTCATATTCATTCAATTTTTTCAATTTAATTCCTTATAATTAACAACAAATATTGTATAACTATAGATAATTATACCTGAGTTAGCTATATTGTACCTTGCACATCGGTGGGGAAAATGGATAAGAGCTTTTTAAATCACAACAACATAATCCCCATCAAATTGTTTTATTTATTAAATACATGTCAGATTCGGTAAAATGGTCTGCACAAACCACACTGGAGCAATTAGGTTTGAAATAATTGTCGCTTCTTTTTTCTTTTATTACTCTGTTATTAAATCTGTAAAAATGTAAAAACAAATTCCAGTTTACAGATTTCACTTCGCCGTCCGTTGTACAGACGTCTGTTGCATTCGTATCTGATCTAGCGATACACGGGGTGTTCGAATCCCAGGCGGGTACCAATTTTTCTAATGAAATACGTACTTAACAAATGTTCACAATTGACTTCCACGGTGAACGAATAACATCGTGTAATAAAAATCAAACCCGCAAAATAATTTGCGTAATTACTGGTTGTAGGACCTCTTGTGAGTCCGCACGAGTAGGTACCACCACCCCACCTATTTCTGCCGTGAAGCAGTAATGCGTTTCGGTTTGAAGGGTGGGGCAGCCGTTGTAACTATACTTGAGACCTTAGAAGTTATATCTCAAGGTGGGTGGCGCAAATGCGCAAATGGCAGCGTAAATACGCTGTAGATGTCTATGGGCTCCAGTATAACCACTTAACTCCAGGTGGGCTGTGAGCTCGTCCACCCATCTAAGCAATAAAAAATAATAAAAAAATAAAAAATTATGTGACTCCACTACACTTGTTCTGAAATAGCCCTATTTCATCCTTGTCTTGCATGTAACCGTTATTATGTGTGCGAAAGAAATAACTGCGAAGCAAAATAATAGGATTTAATTTCTTGAAGTACTAATTTGGTAAGAATAACTGATTTATTTCAAATATTTATCACTATCTGTTAATAAAAATTATAAAACTTACCAAAAATACTAAATTTCATGTTGTTTTCTCTTTATAAGCGTGTTTTTTACATCTTTTTACAGCGCATTTTAGGATCGTTCCACTCGACGGTCGGCGTGACACTGACGGCAAAACAGTGCTTAATATGAATCTAAGCACTGTTTTGTTTGGTTACTTTTGACGCCTTTACGCGGGATCTAGTGGTAATATATCGATGATTAGTATAGATAAAATAGGATACAGACTTACTGAGAAATGTATTATTCTTTTTCCTTTCTTATTACTCTCGTAGGCCGACGAGCCGATGGTACCTGATGGTAAGTGGTCACTGTCGCTCATGGACGACAGCAATCTTAGTGGCACAGCCAAGTCGTTGCTTACTGCAGAGTACTCTTCGCAAACTTCGTTTGAAGTATGAAGCTGCTTTCATACTACGCTATAATATAATAGCATATAGTATATAGCAGGGGTGGGCAAATATTTTGATAGTTGGGCCACATTGCAGATGAAAATTTGACCTCGGGCCAAACAGTTTTTTTTTTTAATTTTATATTGTGAGACTATTATACATACTGTAATTGTTCAATTATCATAATTATATTTTCGAATAGGAGGCGTTGAAAAGAGCGGTTGTCCGGGAGAAAATGTTGGCTCCCACCGGCCCTGATAATGTGTATCAGTATTGCTTAATATTTTATCTAAAAAAATTTATGCACCAATTTATGTTAGACAAAAACTAATATTTGTGTTTTTAATAATAATATATACAATGCTTCACGGGCCAGACAAAATTCTACCGCGGGCCGCCATTTGCCCAGGCCTGGTATATAGATAGCTCTTAGCATAACAATATCGCGCATCCTACATTGTTATGGACACGTTCACACTGTACGGTACTATATATTATTGGCTAAGTATACGCTGCTATACTATATTGCTCTATAGCATAGCGTAGTCTGAAAGCAGCTTGACAGTCGGAAAAAGTCATTGGGCTCGGAAAACACAGTGGGAAGTCATTCCAGAGCCGAATGGAACGTGGTAAAAAAGCGGCTTCAGATATTATGGATCGATGAATTCTGCTCCGGTGTTGCGGTAAGGTGATAAATAGGAGATGGAGGAGATGGATCATCTCGTCGAAAAATACCTTTTTTTAACACTGGGGAATCCGTTTACGGATATCCGGTCAAGGGGGAGTATCAAACCGTGTTATGTCGAAAAATACCTCAAAGCGCTTTCAAACGTTTTTTCTACATTATTTGTCCTAGAGGAGTGCACGAGATCACAGTCTACCCCCCTGCGATCATAGTTTAGATTTTATTTTCCTAGTTCTATGTTTTTATTTAATTTACCTAGTTCCTATGTCCTAGCATAATCTGGAACGTGAAACTGCGAGACACGTACTATTGATTAGGAGTGAAGCGGAGACTATATTCAATTAAAATATGTAGAAACATATTACACAACAGTTAGCGTATTACTTGTTCCCGCAGTGAGCATTGATAAAATACACTTAACATTTGCAGTGAGCGCATAACGTTACCGCGCGTCACTGTGACCGTCAAATGTGATGATCAGAGGCTTGAATGCTCTCGATAAAATCTATACACATAGTTACGCTTGAAAGTAAATTTTGTTTGTTAATTTGTTCCACTCTCACCGTTTCTCACGTTATAGGTAGCGCCTAAATACATCTCATTGCATTGTATATATTTTTTAATTCTCTTAAATTTAATTATTTTTAATAATAACTAATCAATTAAAAACAAAAATTGTAGTTAATGTGAAATTTTATTACCTTTTTTTTTATTGCTTAGATGGGCGTATGAGTTTGCAGCGAATCTGGTGTAAATGATTCCCGGAGCCCATCAATAAAGTAAATGTCGCCACTTACATTGAGACCTGAGTCCTAAATCCCAGTTTTATAGCGCAATGGCTGCTCCACCCTTCATACCAAAACGCATTACTGCTTCACAGCAGAAATAGGCAGGCTCATAAGACCGGGTCCCCCTCACATGTCGGTCTGGGGACCGGCGAGGGGGGCCTAAGAAGACGACGTGCAAGCTGCTCTGCACGCGTTTTACGCAAGAGCATCCGGGTGATGGAAGGCCGGCTATCCTCGACCCACGCTGGTTCTGGCCCAGCGGG